ATGTTTGACTCTCGTATTATTATTATTAAAACTATTGAACGAAAGACTTGTTTCTAAGAAAAAATGTGTTTCAAGTTTTAGAGTTAAACAGTGAGTTTTGTTCCAAATCAAGAGCCACCTGTATTGGTAGTGAACTTGGAGTCTGAAGGTTACAGTTCAAATTCTGGCTCTCTCATTTCCTAGACATGTGTGATCACAAGTGTGATTACTTGGCCTCTCTTGACCAAGTATAAGAATATAGAAGTAACAGCTATCTCTTAAATTTGGTTGGTGGAGGATTAAATAAAAACATGTGAAAGTGTATAATAAAAATGTGAAATCCTATATCAAATGAATGTAGCATTATGGTGATAATAATTACTGTACTGGTAGAAGAACAAGTTCCTGCCCTCTAGGAACTTATCATCCAGGAGGTAAGATGCAGGCATGGCCAATCACATTGGAGTAGGTGATAATCCAGAACCAGATATGGTAGAGGTGATCAGGGGACACAAAGAAGAGGAACTATAATCTGGAAAAGGGTGAACAGGGAAGACTTTGTGGGGAAGGAATTCCTGATCTGAGTCTTAAAGGTGAAGGCAAGTCTGGTAAAGAAGGAAGGAGAAGGAAAAATCATTTCAAGTTGAAGGAGTGGCCCAGAGGAATATGGTACATTCAGGAAGCTGCAAGTATGACTGGAGCATAAACTGTCTGCTCATAGTGCCTAATTTGGTTATTTGGATTGTTATTATCACTTGACCCAACTCCAAAGAGGCATTGCTACTGCACAGAGGTTAATAACTCTAGAAACAGACTTGGTCTGATACCTGGTTGGATCATTTACAAATTGGTTATCTCTAATTAAGAATTTCACCTTCAAGCCCTGGCTGGCATAGCTCAGTGAATTGAATGTAGGCCTGCAAACCGAAGGGCTGCTGCTTTAATTCCCAGTAGGGGCACATGCCTGGGTTGTAGGCCAGGTCCCTTATGTGGGGCATGTGAGAGGCAACCACACATGGATGTTTCTCTCTTTCCTTCCCTTCCCCTCGCTCTAAAAATAAATAAATAAGATCTTTTTTTTAAAAAAAAAAAGGAATTTTGCCTTCATAAACTTTTAGGATCAATCTGATGATAAAAGTATCTTACTTCAGAGGGTTGCTGCAATAAGTATTTGAAGTAACATTTGCAAATCTCCTGGTGTTTAACAAGCATATCATAAATGTTAGCAGCAGTTTCTACTGTTGTCCTGAAAGTCTTAGCAACTTCTTTCCTCTCAGTATTCTGTAAACCTACTGTTCTAGGCTAACAGTTTAGTGCTCTTTTAAATTCCAACTTGTGTTTGTGATAATGGAATCATAGACACAGAATTTGAATGTACTTAAAGTGGTCTAGCTCAGAGAAACTGAGTCATAATTAGATAACCTGTCTGTGACATCACGATGAACCAGTGGCATGGATGGAACGGGAATCAGGACTCTTTCCAGAGTTCTTTCTGCTGGTCTTCCAATAAATTTCCTCAAATCACTGAGACACCAACTGATAGCATTAACCACGATTTGTTGCAGAAACAACATGTTAAAAGTATAGAAATTGACGTTTTTGTGGCTTTGCAGATAGGGAAATGTATTTTGAAAGGAATACTGTATCTCCCCCTGCCTACCCTCTGGTGGAAGTGCTGTTTAACAGCAGTACCTATGAAAAGAGCATTGAGAGGCATGTAATAAGGAACCAGATAATTCTTAAATAAGTAACTCCTTTGCTGTCAAGAATTGCTTATACATACAGATTTCTATTTCTGGATATTAGGTTCTTCTTACTAAACTGTGGAAATAAATTTTTATTGTACCTGTCAATTACACATGTTCTACTTCATTTATTCAAGAGGATCCAATAAATAATTTGTTGCACGCTCTTTATGTACCAAGTGCTAGGGATAGAATGGTGAGCAAAAAGCTTATGATTTAGTGGATTAAACAGATGTTGAAATTATCATCCAAATAAATATAATTAGTTAAATGCTATGCATAAAAAGTAGAGTGATTTATGATCATATAGCAGTGTTTGGGAAGGCTCTCCTAAAAGTTTTAACTGAGATAGGAGGACTCAGTAAAGTAAGTAGGTGAAGGTGAGTCACAGCAATGGAGAAAAGGGTCTCACACTGATGAAACAGCGTGTGCCAAAGCCCTGAGGAAGGACATAGAACGTTCTGTCCTAAGAATTGGAAGACAGTTAATTAGTATGTTTGGAGTAGAAAAGGCTAAGACAAAATGCAAGCCCTGTTCATGAGAAGAAAAGTGAAGGCATCACTGAAGAAATCAAGCAGCACGAGGAGTGGACCTCCTCCCGAAGTGAAGGGTGTGCTGTGTGCATCAGATTTTGTTGTGAATATTCCTTGTAAAGAAGATTGCTTTAGAACCTCTGTAACACTCAGTTTACCAGATAGAATAATATAGTAGGATTTGGGCACTTTTAACTACAAATTATTTTTCATTTGATTTTTCTGTCTCTCAGTCCTGGCTCATTACAATGGAGGGAATATTTTGATGTCCTGGTGTGTTTAGGTTAGGGATTTTTGCTGTTGATAGTTGAACAGCCTAGAAGTGACAGAGAATCCTGTTTTCTTGGCTGAGGGTTTTGTGTGGGTGTATGAGGTGCAGCTGCACTGTTTCTTGGCAGTCAAGAGAGGGTATTCATTTTGAATAGGAAGAAACTTAAGAGTAAAGAGGTTAAAAGAAGAAAAAAAGAAAAGGAACAAAAGGGGAAAGAGGCTACTTTGAATCTATGAAATTTAGTAGAAGGTACCCAGGTCCTGAATCTTTGGCTGATACTCTAAGTTATTTGGCTAAATTGATACAGCAGCCCCAGGCATATGTCCAAGCTTACAGCGGGAACCCATGCAGCAGAGAATGTAAAAGAAATAGTCAAAGCTTTGTTTCAATATGAAATTAGTAATTACCATATGCAATTTTCAGTGAATTTATGTTCATTTTTAATTAAGCTTTTTTCTAAATAATGAAAAAGGCATATTGTGAAAAATTAATTTTACAAAAATGAATTAATAATTTGTAGTTCACTAGCAAGATCTTTTCTCAGATTTATTTTCACACAAATGGATTCCCAGATCTGCCTTTATTGCTCACTTGTTTTCTTAAGTTTCCTTTGACCTTTTCTGTGGTATATAAGCACTTTGTTTTCCAAAATCCTCTAATTAAATACAGATAATATGCAGCCCTTCTTTTTTTCAGGTGTACCTACATCCTTTCCTTTGAATAAACTCTTACTGTCCTTCATACTCTTCAAACAAGAATATCTGAGTTGCTTCCCATATTTAGCTGCTTGTTTGTATCTCTACTGTTAATTAATATTATTGCTCTCAGGGTAGCACAGAGTCAGGTCCTGAGGTTGGTTGCCTGGGTTCGAATTTAGTCTTGTTGCTGACTGTTTTGATCCCTCTAACTACTCAGTTTCTAATCTCCAAAGTGGAGATAATCAGGTTAGTTCCTCATAAGTAATTTTTTTAAGCCTTAAAGGAAAAAGTGCATGTATCAATAAAAAGCTTAATTCAAACTCAGTGACCAAGAGAAGAGATGCTGGCTATCATTTTCTTCATGATTTGGGGTCAGTCTCTTAGAAATCATTAGGGTTATTAGCTATTAATAGCTATCTTCACTCAGTCTAATCTGTACTGTATGCTGATCACTCCCAGTTTATATCTCCATTCTTAACCTCACCCTCTTCTAAGCTTCAGATTTTTAAGTTTGATGGATTCTGTTTATCTACATTTAAATATCTAATACCTACTTTAAACATAACATGTCTAAACAGATCTTTGATCTCCGACACCTGCCGCTACTTGCGTCTCCAGTCTTTTCCCACCATTCTTTCCTGTTTAAGTTAATGACCCCACCCTCTGTACTTTTTTGGCTTTCTTCTAGCTGTCAGCCCCCATCCATATTATCAGCACACCTGACAGCATTATTCCCAGAATATGTCCTGAGTCTGACCACAAGTCGTCATAGTCTCTACCAGCACCACAGTTCAAGACAATAACCTCTTCTGCTTGGACAGATATATAAGGGATGATCTCCTATTTCTCTCTGTTTTCAGTTTTGTTTCCTACAATCCATTATTCACATTTTGGAGACTTATATATTAACAACATAGATTATTTTATCCTTACCATCTTTTTACTGAAATGGGAAAAGTGTCCAGAATTTTTGAAAATCCTCTTATGACCTGGACTTTCTGATTGCTTTCTTCCTATCTCTAAACCATTGCCAAAGTTCATTTCTGTCCTAAGGCCTTTACATTAGCTTTTCCTTTCATTTGAGATATTTTTTAATCCAGATCAGCACAATGTTGGCTCCTTGCAATTTTTAGGTCTCAGTTTAGCTTTTCAGAGAGGTTTATTCTGACATCGTTCCATTCTTCCTTTCTTAATAGCTGATGACTACCTGAAATCTGCACCTTCTTTTCTTCTTTCTTTCATGAATTACCCCTTCTCACTCCCAAAATAATTTATGCTTCATGAGGGCAATGACTTTATTCATCTCATTTATTACTATATTCTCAGTACTTAGAGTAGAACCTGATACTTAGGTTTATTGTACTATGTGGAAAGAAGGATGAATAAATATGTCTATATACCTGGTAAATTTTCTACATTCAGGGAAATAATGGATTGTTTCATTCTGTGCAAACTTTACATAGATGCTTATTTTATAATTAACTATGCAGGTATTTTGTCTCTTTTATGTGCTTTCTCTGTTGTAGTTATATGCCCGTAAGGGTCAGAGGTATGTCTTCATTGTTTTTAGCTCTCATAGAATGCTAATACCATTTTAGTACTTAGCATTGGTTGCATTGAAAAATTGAATCTAACATCTTTATTTCTTCTGAAGTTATAGTAAGTATATGTGTGTTTGTGTGTATATGGATATGTGTGTATGTATATATACATACAATTTATATACATAAAACAGGCATGTATAAAATATGCCTTCCCCATTTATCTCTTGTAGTTCATAATTGGACCCTCGATGACACACTTCAGTGGTTGATAGAATTTGTTGAACTACCCCAGTATGAGAAGAATTTTAGAGATAATAATGTCAAAGGAACAACACTTCCCAGGTGAGTCTTTATTATCCAAATGTATTTTTTCCACTCATGGAGAATTATATGCTACATGTTACTTTTCATTGCCGAATCTACAAGTTACTTCCGTGACTAAGAGCTGAAAGGAAATATTATAAATATATCCATTCTTTAATTTTTTAAGGTATGAGTTTTTGCAAGTTTTAATCATTTTTCCTTGTCTAAACAAGAACAACCTTTAAGAAAATTATACCCAAGAAAAATAATTTGAGGATGAGAAGGTGGGCCAGCTATACCTGTTTTAGATAATATCGAAAGGCCAGCCTCTGATCATCTGGCAAATATAAAAAAACTTATTTGACACAGATTCATCTTTATGAACAGATTTTTTGAATAGATTAATTTACAGATTCTTCTGAACTGGTAATCTTTTAGTAACAGCAGTAACCACTTAGTGGCCATAAGTTAAACCTTAAAAAATTAAGTTTAATAAACAAAATGTAGATAATAGCAACCGTTTTAAAATATATATTAACTAGAGGTACTCTATATTATCTCATTCAAGCTTCTTGGTTGAAATGAAGTGGGTATTATTAATTCCCATTCTGTAGATAAAAAAAAAAAAAAACAAGTCAGAAGTTAAACATTTTGCCCAAGAAAATGTTTGAATACAGGTGACCTGATACCAGAGTGTAGGATGCTGATTTATCCTTTATATGTCTAGAATTAATTGTCACTAGTTTTTTGAATTACATTTTCTAGATCTCAGTTGTTAATAATCTTTAAGATTTAAATGTTAAAATTTGAAATAATTCTACCAAAATTTGGCCTTACAAGATTGGTTATGTTTTATTTCTCCCAGGGTTGTTTTTGATACCAAAGACTCTAATCCCTTTTTATTACTGTCCAATCATTATGTATGATGAAATAGGCATATTGTATTTCTCCTCAGTTTGCTTACATACCTTATTTAAAAATTGCTTCTGTTGATTTAAAGTTTGTATTTTGGATCAAGTTGAATGTTTTCATATTTTCTTTAAATGTATTCTGAATACGAACCATCAGTATTTCTGATTTTACTATGCACATGACTGTAGTGATGGAGTCAGGGAGTAAGAGTCAGTTCAGCAGGTGTGTGTATTGGGTATCTTTTATGTTCATGGTGCGACTGGATGCTGGAAGGAAGACAGAATTAAGTAAGATGTAGTTCTTGTTATTAAACAAGACAAGTTACTAAGTAATAATAGAGCATTAAAATGGGATTAGGGTTTTCCGATATATATATATATATATATATATATATATATATATATATATATATATATATCCCTGGTTATGAGGAACCCATTGTATTTTTCTTATGCTGTCCTTTGGGGAGTTTATTTTTTTCACTGTTGTTCAGTTACAGTTGTCCCCACTTTCCCCCCTTACTCTGTCCTGCCCTACCCACCCCCACCTCCCACATTCAATCCTTTTCCATGGGTGCTATGTACATGTTTTTCCCCTTCTTCCCACATTACCACCCTCCCTTTTGGTCACTGTTAGTTTGTTCTTTATTTCCATGTTTCTGGTTCTGTTTTGTTAGCTTGTTTGTTTTATTGATTAGGTTTCACTTACAGGTGAGATCATAGGGTATTTGTCTTTTACTGCCTGGCTTATTTCACTTAGTGTAAAACTGTCCAGTTTCATCCATGCTGCCATGAAGGGTAGGAGTTCCTTCTTTCTTTCTGCTGTGTAGTATTTCATTGTGTAAATGTATCACAGTTTTTTGATCCACTTAGTTACTGATGGGCAAATGTTATAGCCACTTTTTTTCTTTTGATTAAATAGATTGTACTGGAGATACATCAAATTCTGGTAGAATTGTTGAGATAATGCACAGTTAATCAGGGTCAGTCAAAATAACTTTTTAAAATAGTGAACATGTTTCTACAGAACAAAAGTTAATGTATATAGAAGCTTTCAGAAGCCCATTAGAGTCTCCTTGAGTGCAGGAGAAGGGGATACTGGAAGACCCTTCATCCAGCCCCTCTTATGTGGAAATGCAATTAGATAAGTCAGTTTAAATGGGTAATATTAACACAAACAACTAGGTAAGTTATGTAGGGTAATTCTAGATACAAGAGCTATTTATAAGACTATATAAGAAAGTGTATTACACATTCCAGATGTACACATGCCTAAAATAATTCATTATTATTTCCTTTCTGTGACATTAAAATATTGTTGCTTCTGAAATAGGTAGCCAAAATTATGTTAGTTTTATGTTAGTTATAATGGTTATCTTAAGCCCTGTAGTGTATTTTCTATACTGTAATTCTTATACCAGCACTTATACTGAGGCTTTCTTCACCTGATAACATGCTTGCTCATTCCTTTCAGACCTGTGTCAACTTCCTTGACATCCTCACCCTCTCAGGTAGAATAACTTCCACCTCTGGGCTCATATTGAACTTGGCATAAAATTCTGTCACATAGTTTTCTTATTATTACATCTCATTGTCTTTCTTAAAATTAGTCTGTTGGTAGTATTGTTATGAATTCATTCATGTATCCATCCATGCATTCATCCATCTATTATACACATGTTTGTCATCATCTACTTTTGCCAAGCACCATGCTAGGTTTGGGGATACAGAGCTAAGATAGTTTTTGCCTTCAAGGACTTTGATAAGTATATTAAAGGAGTAACGAGAGCATACATGTAAGGCACCTGGGGAGAACATGAGGGCATTTTGCAAAGGGAAAGTTAGAGCTCTTCACTCAGTAAGTTTTATAGAGGCCTCAGAGGAGTTCCCATAACTTCTGCATAATCAGAGGTTCTGATACCTTTCTAAATAAAATGTGGTTCAGGTACAGTCATTGGAATCATTCACATTTGGGTTTGAATCTCTGCCTTACCTCTTACTAATTATTTAACCTTGGGCAAGTTATTCAGCCTCTCACTACCTTGACACAGGTCCCAGCACATACCACATGCTTGTTTTTATTGTCACTGTTATTAACACTTTTATTATTGTTGTTATTAGACTTTGTGTTATAAAATTTTTGTTGGCATCATACTTGGTTGTTAAGAAATCTTAGTTGACTACTGGGCTACTTGGATTTGAAGTCCAAACTGAAGTGATTTTATTTATTTATTTTACCTGTGCTTTGGCCCCTACATACTTTTTTTCATTGCTTAATACAATGGTTTAGTACTTCTATTACATAAATCCTTCAGATTACTTTCCCAACTACTGATGAGTTCTTCCTACTTATGACTTCAGTGGATTTGTTTAATTTTTAAACAGTTTAAATATTAGACCAAAAGTATAGACTTCTTAGGTAATTTTAAAGAAAGGCAATAATCTAAATTGAGAACTGTTTTTTAAAGTCTGCTATTGACATAAAGTAAATTACTTATAATTTTCTTGTTCTTTGTGAAATGACATTAAGATACCAGGTAATTGATAATTATAAAATATTTTTAATTTGATAAATTTAAAAATCATATTAAGTTACTGCACAAAATAATCTTAGAAAACAAAAATATCAATCTAGCTAAACTAAATTATTAATACACAAGAGTGTTTGTACAACTAAGTTTGTACTGAAAATGTTTTGGATACATGTAATAAAATATTAAATCACACCTGATGAGGTCTTATAGTAATTATCATTAATATGTACAGTATTGATTATATTGCTCAAATATTTACATTTATATACTAGAAATATTTTATTTAATGTGTATGTGTTTTTTAAATGAACAGGATAGCAGTACATGAACCTTCATTTATGGTCTCTCAGTTGAAAATCAGCGACCGGAGTCACAGACAAAAACTTCAGCTCAAGGCACTGGATGTGGTTTTGTTTGGACCTCTGACACGTTAGTATTTGCTCTCACAGAATATGGTGCAAAAGAATAATCAGATCATCTATTTGTTGTCTAAAGAAGGAAAAAGTAAGGAAGGTAGTAGACCACTAAGAAGAATCATCTATTAAGTGTAAAAGAAATTTAACACTGTCTTAAAACAAAAGATTTATAGGATGAGACTTTTGGTCAGTGAAATATAGAGTGCAATTTTCAAAGCTGGTTACTGATATAAGAAATTGTAAAAACTATGTTACTTGATAAATTAGAATTAAATTTCTATATTTAAAACTTTGTTCCTTTATACCAGTTTTAATGTTGATATTATAGCTGGATGTTCACTGAAGAACATTACACCTTTAAAAAATGGTGCAGTCTAACCATCTTGAAAGCATGAAGTAATGAAACTTCACTTGATTCCATTAACCACCAAGAAGATATCTTTTTCGATATAGATCACAAACAAAGAGCCACTTTGAAGCTTCACAAAGTAGCACTGTTCTGGCAGAAGCACGAGGTGGAGAGTTGTTCCTAGACTGTTTGAAGAGGAACAGTTAAGAAATTGCTCTGTCATTTTCATAAAGAAAATAAAACTGTATTTCTTTAATTTGACAAGAGTACTCTTCTCAGAAGGAAAGTTTCATATGCCTATTTTATTTAATTTCAAATTTTGGAAAGCTTTGGGGCAAAGCATTTGAAGAGTACACATTTTCAAGAAATTGTTTCATTTTTCAGTAGCCAAAAACAAATACTAGAACAGTGACTTTCATAAATTACAAATCAGGAAACTAATGTTTATTTTGCCTTCATTCTTGAGTTAGGAGACATGCAGGTTTCTGTGATACTAACTAGGGGGCGGCTTTGCTAAAAAAGGGCTAGTGGGGTGGTTGGATGGGTTCCATGACTTCACTGGTGGTGCTTTTTTGGCTCAGGCTGAAAGAGCAGCTGGTGAAACAGCTGGAACTTCCCTTTGTGAGGGTTGGTGGATATGCACTGTTGGTGGAAATTGCAAACCCTAGGAAATAGAACACTGCTGAAATGCCGAGCATTCCGCGGAGATGATACCCTTTTTAACCCTTCCCTCGCATAAGTTTTCTACTGAATCTCTTGGGGTGTCTTGTGTGAGATTCTGATTTGTTCATGTGAATGGTTGGTGAAAGTAGGAATTATATAATATGGAATTTGTCTCTCTATACAACTTGGTCAGGAGTACTTGTATTTTATTAGGGAGACCATTATATCACTATTTTTTAAAAGATTTATTTTATTATTTTTTAGAGAGGGGGAAGGGAGGGAGAAAGAGAGGAAGAGAAACATCAATGTGTGTTTGCCCCTCATGTGCCCCACACTGGGGACCTGGCCCAAAACCCAGGCATGTGCCCTGACTGGGAATCAAACCAGCAACCGTTTGGTTTGCAGGCCTATCCTCAATCCACTGAGCTACACCAGCCAGGGATATTACTATTATTTTAAAAGGACCCAAATGAGTCTCAGAGAATGTTGAAGACAAATGTTTTAATAAACAAAAAATGTTTTAATAAACACCTTTTTAATGTTTCTCTTAAAATTATTATTTGAGTGAATGAGCCCTGTAGTTGGAACACCCATGTTATTTATTAAAAAAAAACAACTAGCATTGTTAAATGAGCAGAGATACATTTTAAAGGTGTTTTCACCAAAATCTTTCCTAGTTTGTGGTACATATTGTAGTTTGGGACTTGCCCACCTATTGCTGTTTCTGGTGATTATATTTCAGCCTGAAGAAGGCTCATATTTGAACTGGAGCCTGAGCTGAACCTCTCAGCCTGAGGCAGAAAAAGAAATAAATCCTTTAAGACTTTAGCCTTGTGTAGTGCATCTCTTTCACTGTAGATTAGGGTATGCACTCTAACAACTCTGGAAACAGGCAACCCTGGGGGTCTCTGGCATGGAGCATGCTGTTTATCACACTGTGTAATCGTACACGGAGCCTGGGGTTGTAAGCATAGGAACTTGTCCTTTCTGTAGGGTTCTTCATCTCATCAGACATGCAAAGCGTCTTCCTGCTGGAGGTCTGGGCAGTCAGGCAGTTTTTCAGGTATCTCTTTGGAGCAGATAGTACATTTTATTAGTTAAATCATTGTGTCTCCCAGAGGACCATTCCCAGTACATGGTGGGAAGTGCTGTTGCTTTTCAGGGGTCCCCAGGACTTCTGTTACTACCTCCTTTCCCAAAGGTACATGGTATATCCATCCATGTTGGTTTACCTTTGTTCTCCTATAGCCTGGTATATCAAATAGTAAGCCTTGACTATCAAATAGTCAAGTAGTAAGCACATTGATTATTTGAAGAAAGGATTTTTAAAAGCTAGAGCTTTTATATGGGAGGGGCATTTTTGTGTTTTATTTTTAGATGCCTCCTCATTTTTAAAAAAGTCTCTGTATGTTGAAATTCTGTTGCACTCAAAGATTAATTTAACCATCTTTAATTCTCTTCATAGGCCCTCCTCATAACTGGATGAAAGATTTTATCCTCATAGTTTCTATAGTAATTGGTGTTGGAGGTTGCTGGTTTGCTTACACGCAGAATAAAACCTCAAAAGAACATGTTACAAAAATGATGAAAGACTTAGAGAGTCTCCAAACTGCAGAGCAAAGTCTACTGGACTTACAAGAGAGGTGAGTAAGTAAAACAAACTGTAGCTCTTGTGAAGCTGTAATATGGGCATGTGCATACACACTTATATTTAGGTTGGTACATACATCGGGAATGTATGTACACTTCATTTCACACATTTACAAAAGTACCATTGTATTGTTATAATAACAGATTATTATGAAGGTATGCACTAGGGAATAAATGGGTAGAGACCAGTGGAAATCAATCATATATAAGAGGAGTTATATGTGGAGTTAAATTATATTTTTGACATGATATAAATAATCTGTATTTTTTTAAAGTTTCTTTGCTAAAGAGTATTTCCCTGCTATTTTGAACTGTTCCCTGTGTTTTGAACTCAAGATAACCAGAATAGGTGTATAGTAGGCTGCATGATGTTTTTACTATCCAAACTTAAGATTAATAGAAAATTCTGCAAATTTTGATTGAAACATGTGTCCTGTTGCTTGATACACATTTATATTTCTTTCAAAATGAAATTTTGGCAACTTTTATGAGGAATTTACATTTTTATTGTTCTGTAAGGCTTGAAAAGGCTCAGGAAGAAAACAGAAATGTTGCTGTAGAAAAGCAAAATCTAGAGCGCAAAATGATGGATGAAATCAATTACGCAAAGGAGGAGGCTTGTCGGCTGAAAGAGCTGAGGGAGGGAGCTGAGAGTGAATTGAGTAGACGTCAATATGCAGAGCAGGAATTGGAACAGGTATTTATGTTTTACAAAAAGTATTTGTTAGGATATTTGTACTGCCATTCTGAGTTTTTTGTTTCTGTTCAGTCTTATACATTTAATTCCATTGTGTACTCATCTTTTGTTAATCAAAGAATCATTTGTTCAGATTGTCTGCATTGATCAAAGTCCTCGTAGCAAACTCACAAAGTAGTAACTAAAAGGTAAAGTTACCATCATGTTCTTTCATTCATGAAACCTTATTTCATGCCATATTAATTATCTTTAGTAAATTTAAGGCATTTATTTAACATTTGTAATATGCTTTGGTTTTCAGCGGTAACCTAGTAAAGTGTATCTCATGTTAAACTTCTCTGCAAAGGTAAAGAATCTCTATTGAGCATCCATTTGAGTCCTGATAAGTGCTCAAATGGATTTAGGATATAATCTGCTAAAAATTCTGAGGTTGTCTAAAGGATACTCTTTCCAATATCTGCTTCCATTATGAATTTACTGAAGATGGAATATAGGCATTGAGGCATTACATAGTCCTTTGGGCAGTGATTCTGAATAAGAATTTAATTGCGGGCAAATGTATTAGTTTTTTATTTCTGCTATTAAAAAATCACCATAAACTTAGTGGCTTTAAAAACAACACATATTTATTAGTGTACAGTTCTTGAAGTCGGAGTGTAAAGTAGGTCCGTGGGTTGCATTTCTTCTGCAGGCCCTGGAGGAGGATCTGTTCTCTTGCTTTTTCCAACTTCTAGGGGCCACCTACATTTCTTGGCTCATGGCACCCTCCTTCATCTTCAACCTCTGCTTCCATGGTCTCATCTTCTGTTTTTGACTTTGACCCTTTCGTGATTGATAAAGAAATTGAGTAACAAAATGAGGATGAGAAAACATTTTTCAAGATTAGAGAGTGGCTCAGTTGTAAACCAGGGACAAGAACCGAGATATTCTGCCTCTCACTTTGCAAAAAGCATTGTTGCCTTCTCAATCAAGTGCTTAATAAGGATAAAAATCTAGTGACTTATTCTATTTCAGCTCCTGTGAAAAATGTTGTGTACATTACTATTTCCTTTGAGTTTGTCATTTTTGACTGAATGCATCCATCTCTTCCTACTAACTGTTCTTTCTCTTATACCTCAGACATCTATTTTTAATGTTTTCCCTGTGAGAAGTTTGTTCTCTTAAGTTGCCTCCTAGACATATTTTGTAGTCAGGTCCTATTTACCTGAGGAGAAACTTCTGCAGACAGAACATAGTAAAGAACAGGGGGTTAAAAAATAAATAAAAAGAAAGAAAGAAAAAAGGCCTAGCTAAAATTATACTGTGTCCAAAAATTAGATATTTTGCCCTTTACTCCTCTGAGAACTGCCTTCCTGTTCCCACTGAGACATCTAACTTTGGTTTGTTCTTAGTACTAAATTAAAAGCTTGTTAGCTGTTTTTCTGATAGTGCAAATCAGAAAGCAGTAGTAGGAATTCTTCTAGAGATAGAAAGTGAGAGTGATATTTTATAGGTGACTGCCTCACAGTGAGGGAGAAGATATAAAAGAATACCCAAGAATCATTAACATTCTCAGCTCAGGTTTTCGGCTTAGGGACCTTGTATTCTGTAGACCCTAAGATTACTGCATGTCCCAGTACAGACATACTAATCCTAATAAGATCCTGAGTCAGCAAGAGGTGGTTTAAAGGAGAGAAATGGATATTTAAAAAGAACTCTGTTCAACATGGTTATAGTAGTAAGAAACACAACTTTATGTGTACTTATATGTGTTATTACACATACTGTGAATGGTTTGCTCCTAAATTTTAATCTTCAAAATGCATAGAAATTATCCTCATTTACAGATATGTAAAGAAGTTAAATAACTTGCCATAGGTCACACAGCTATTAAGTGAAAAAGGTAAGTTTAACTGGGAGATTAATTTATGTGTAACATCACATGATCCACAGTTCCACCCAGTTTGAAGCATTACTACATTTGTCTGGGGAGTAATCAACTTCTCAAAGTCAGAATGCAGGAGAATCTGGTACATATTTTGTATAGTGTTATTTTCACGAAAACAAAGCTTTTCAGTGAATAATACTACCACTTCATATTTTGTGTAAATCCTTTTCACGTAAAATTATTTTGTTCTTAAAGTCTAATGAAGCCTAAAGTCAGGGCAAGTTGTACCCCTGTTCTAAATACACAAACAGTAAGCTTCAGAAAGTAAAGAACTTGCTGGTGGTCTCAGTAAATAATTAAAGTTGAATCTAGAAGCCAGGTTCTCAGATGTTTAGGCTGTTTCTGTGATACCATGTTTTTACTTATTGCTGTTTTTCACAAAAGTTATATAAATGATAACTGTACTTTTAAATAGTATTCATATTCTAAAAGCTATTAATTCAATTTTCACAGCATCCATTCTTCAATAAATAACAGTGCAATCCAAACTAAGGGTTGGAATTAGGTCAAAAAATAAATTTAGGAAAAATAACAGAGAAAATAGTTAAAATGGTTGCTATTATATGTTAGGTCAGGATTTTTTAAATTTTGAGAAATTATTTGACAGTCAATCAAAACACTGTAAAGCCTCAGTTTATGCTAGAAGTGTATCAGTTTTGTTTTAAATGTGTTTATTGAGTTCTTTTAGGGGTAAAAATTTGTAGATATAACATTAAAAAATGTCTTAATGATCAAAAGAGAAAAACTTGAGTGAAATTTGTTCAGATTCTCTGTATACTTCCTTGGCAATGAAAATTCTATAGAAATCGTAGCTTTAAAATCTTGTAAGAAGAAGGGCCTGCAGCCCTGCACTTTGTGGTGTTATGTGGACCTGCATGTCACGGGACCTGAGCTCAGATTCTCTCTTCCTGGGAGATTAGCAAGGACGCCACACAGCTTAGCCAGACTTCTTATTAAATACAGTATTGTCCCAAGTGCATTGCACCGTGAACTGTGTCGGGCAAATGTTGCTTAGGGTTTGTTTTCAGTGAGTAGTTATCTTATCTTTGCTTTTAATGTCTGTTTTTTGAATTGTTTAATTAGTGTCCATTGTGAACTTTTTAAAAAACTTTGAACTTAAAAAAATACTTTTCTACATACAATTTTTCTTAACAGGATCTGACAGCCCTTCCATTGCTGTATCAAAAGTTTGTGTATAGTACTCTTAGTTTAATCTGGCACATCACAACAGCTTATTTGTATGAGCTGGGTTTTCAGATCAAACTTTCTTCTACACGTTAGTTTAGGAAGGAGCAGATTTTTCATCACCTTAGTTGACTTGAGGAAAATTAATTTGCAGTCATGGTGTTCTAGAGGAAGCAGGACCCTCCATCACTCACTCATTCTGTCTGAAGGTCTGAGCGTGTGTGTACATAATTCCATAGATCCCATTGTGTATCTTTACATATCTTTAGCTTGAACTCTCCCTAGTTTAAGTGAATTATTTCTAGAATGGGTTGTCTCTTCCTGCTTTGTCCTTTTTTCTTAGTGACGCTTTCCTTAAGAGTATTTTCCTTAGCTTTTAACACCACCTCACACTCTAAGCACTGACACCCCTCCAGGGCAGCTGCAAGAAGGACACTGAAGGCTCTGCAGAATCTCTCATGGAAAAGTCAAACAGACTGTCACTCAGAATCTGTTTTCCCAAAATTGGCACTTTATTTTCTGGTATATTAGAAGCAGTGAAGTAAATAAAAGTGGCAAAAGTGAGTTTGTAGTTAAGGAGCTACAGTAGAGCTTTCTGGGAACATTAGAAAGGGTACTAGAACAGATAATCACCCTATTTTGCATACTTATATCCTACTTCATAAACAAATAATGTATTATGAGAGGAGTATGATCAGTTTTAGTTTTATATGCCCTGGATTTCTTCTCTCTTAGTGAGTCTGGTTATACTAAAATATAGAAACTAAATATTGCAGCTTGAGATACATGTAAGTCCCTTCTCTCCTCTGGCTTTACAACTCCGCTTATTGGATTTTAGATGCACTTAAAACTTCAGCTTTAGTTTTAATGTCAGAAATATATTGTTTTAGACTTTGTGACTTAAAAAATGTTTACAAAGAGCGTAATTAAAACGAATCTTTGTCTTATTTTGGGTACTAAAATATCTGAAATTCTTCTAAAAATTTTAATTTAAATATCTTTAAAAAATAAATTTCTTTCTCTTCTTCCCCCCTCCTCCCACCGCTTTCTCCCTCCCACCCAGGTTCGAATGGCTTTAAAAAAGGCTGAAAAAGAATTTGAATTCAGAAGCAGCTGGTCTGTTCCAGATGCACTTCAAAAATGGCTTCAGTTAACACATGAAGTAGAAGTACAGTACTACAATATTAAAAGACAAAATGCTGAAATGCAGTTAGCTATTGCTAAGGATGAGGTACTCTATTTCAAAACTTATTAAATTTCTAGAAGGGTTAACTAGTTGGAATACAAGGGTATGAATAAATTTTTATTATTGCAGTTTCTTTTCTTGAGCTAGAACTTACTACATGAATTGATCCTCATGATCATAGGTTGTAAAGTAAAATTACTTAGAGAGGTGTATACCTTTCGGAATGACCTGTCATTTAAAAATAATCTCTGTTATCATTATAATAAACATTTTATACAGAGCTTTTCTCCTCTGGGTTGCTGCTTCATATCTGATTTAGGTTAGTAGTTTAGAAATTAATGTCCAACTTTATTAAATTGTGTGAAATAAGATTAAGTCTTAATCTGATTTGTAGCAAAAAAAAAAAAGCTTTTAGTTCACTCACTAACACCTCTATTGCAGTAAGATATAATGTTATTCGGTTAGTTTTAATAGAAAATTCAGGCCTTTCTGAGCCACAGAAATAAGAGAAAATTTTTCTGGAACAAAGTTTCAAATCATATTGTTTGGGTTGGGAAAGCATTTTTTTTTTCATCTATTTTCTTTTCATTTTTGGAAAATAGGGCTATGTATTGGGTAATAATTTTTTACTGATTTTTAAAAGATTTTACTTATCTTTAGAGAGGAAGGGAAAGAGAGGGAGAGAAACATCAATGTGTGGTTGCCTCTTGTGTATCCCCTGCTGGGAACTGCCCTGCAACCCAGGCATGTGCCCTGACTAGGAATCGAACTGTGATCCTTTGGTTTGCAGGCCTTCGCTCAATCCACTGAGCTACACCAGCCGGGGCTGATTTTTTAGTTATTAATGTATTCAAAACAAAATAAACTTTATTAGCATGTGCGTTTTCTTTCCCCAAACTACCCTTACTTTTCTCTCCTTTGGTTTCTAGGCAGAGAAAATTAAAAAGAAGAGAAGCACAGTCTTTGGGACGCTGCACGTTGCACACAGCTCCTCCTTGGATGAGGTGGACCACAAAATTCTGGAGGCCAAGTAAGACACTGTTCCAGCTCTTTGCTTACTTTCGCTGTGTTGAAGTAGGACATTTGTAGACCACTTGTGTTTTCATTTGTCATTTGATCATGTATATATAATCACACAATTTATACTAATTCTGAGAGTGTGTAATTTCTTCTTGAAATTAACTAATTGTCATGGTCTGTTCACGTAGTTGCCTTTTTCAGTGCCATATTAAAGACTGTTTCAAATAACAATTTCTATATTGACTTTTTCAGGAAAGCTCTTTCTGAGTTGACAACTTGTTTACGAGAACGACTTTTTCGCTGGCAACAGATTGAGAAGATCTGTGGCTTTCAAATAGCCCATAACTCGGGACTGCCCAGCCTGACCTCTTCCCTTTATTCCGATCACAGCTGGGTTGTGATGCCCAGAGTCTCTATTCCACCCTATCCGATTGCTGGGGGAGTCGATGACTTAGATGAAGATACACCCCCAATAGTGTCACAGTTTTCTGGTAAGTAATGAGTTCCAAAAAGAGAGTTGGTACAGTTTTTAAAGTAACTTTATGTCATGTCATTTATGGAGCATTTACTTTGAAGTCTGTGATAAAAATTTTGCTCATTCTTTATTTTCTCCTTTTGTTGTTAATTTGTATTTACTGTTTGATAACAGTATACAAGGGGTGTATGTGTGAAATACATCATACGTACTAAAAAAATCATTTGTATGAATGAAGTGTTGAGCTTTGAGGGGAAACATTCTTTCAAATAACAGCTTAATCTACAGTAGAAAGTAAAACTAAGGGGAGGATCTTGGAAACCTGAGTCCAGTCCTAGCTTTGCCACTCACCAGTTGTGTTGTGTGACTTTGAGCCAGTCTGTGGTTTACGTTAAAATTGAGTTGATTTTCACAATAGGAAAGTTTTTTAGTATTTTGTTTTGCTTTTCTGATTCTATCCTTCTATCAAAAGAATATTAACTCATAAGCACTGAATCACTTTGACTTTGTACAAACTTAAACTGCGTTTATGTGTAGAAAATCCTACGTATCTTTTTGTTGTTAGGAAGTGGAGCCCCCCCAAAAGCAGTTCTAATGTGTATAATTCCTTTGTTATGCTTTAGTCTGAGGTTTTTTACATGGTAAAGAGTACATTTTGGTAGGAAAGCGAAGTTTAAATATTTTAGATTTTATTAATGTTAGAATTTATTAATACATATTTGGACTTTTTGCAAAGTCAGAGATTTTTGAATTTGAAATGGTGCATTTTATGTATTAGAAATCATTAAAAAATTCTTTTAAAATGATTATTATTTTAGCCTGCCTGATGTGTTTCCCAATATTTCTGACCTTTTTGAAACAGTGTAGATAGAACAGGAGTCCAAAGAATGGAGAGCAGAAGTTAATCATTAATTGATTGAAAATTTACATGGAAATTTTAGCCTTTGAGACAAAGCATGATTTTTGAGCATTTTCCAGTTCGAGTTTTTCTATTCAATTGTTATACCTTTTCTGAAGTTATGATTTAGAAGAAGTTCTACTTTTTAAAACAATTTTATGAAAGAAAGCTCTAGATTTTCAAACGAATAGTCAGTGACTTTGTGCTTATGTTCATTTCTGTGGTTTAATGACAGGCAGATAATGCAGGCAGGGTGGGGAGGCCCTAAACTCTTACAAAAGGGAGGAGGAGAGGAAAGATGGTAAATGCAATGAATACTGGGTGTGTGTGGTCTCATTCAGTGAACTGGCCCTATGCTACAAGATAGTGATGTTTATATGTAAGGTAGTTTTTTTTTATTTAGGTCTGAACCAGCTCTGCTGTTTGAATATTGTGTTTATTTGAATTACCGTAAGCTTGCCAAATGCAACACTGATTCATAGGTATATAATGTTATTTGAAAACTACAGCTTTTTAAAGTTGCAGGTTCTCCTTAGAATACATAATTATGCAATATCAGAAGTGTACATGAACATGTATTCCCTAAATTAACCAGGTTTTTTTCTTTGCTTTTTGTTTTTTCAAGTACTTTTTACAGGCCATTTTATATATGTACATTAAATGTGAATAATTATCTTAAGTAATTGTGATACAGAAATTTGACCTTTCAAATACTAAAAAGTACAAGAGTTGACTTTAAATTTAATACGTTGTTTTAGAAATGCTGTGATCAAATTTATTATCTTGGAAAAATAACTCATGCCAAAGATTATACTTTGAGAGCTCTGCCTCCACCCAGTGGCACAACAGTGGTGCTCCATGCGCTGAGCTGTAAAGGTGTGATCCCTGCGCCTGATAAATCAGAGTTCTCAGCAGTAGGGAGAGGATCTAAAGTAGGATGAAGGCTCTTCATTATATACTCTCCTGAGCAGTTTTAAATTTGTACCATGGGTGTGTAAATTGTGTAAGTGTGAAATAATGACAAGGAACCGTACCTGTGGTATGTTAAGAGCACAGTAAGATTGTAAAACTATGTACACATAGCATAATATTGTGTGTTTAATTATTTGAAGTGGAAAAAGACAGAAGATACAATCAAAGGTTAGCCCTGTGTTTGTAGGAGAGCAGATGATAGTTTGTTTTTCTATTGATACTTTTACGGTACTGCTAAAAATTTACAGTAGGAATGTAGTAACAATTTACTGAAAATTTTTTATTCCAAAGCCTTTTAGATATTCCTAAAAATAATATGCTCACCTACAACAAAGTAGACTTTTTCTTTTTTTCAAAAGGGGGTTTATTTTACTTATATTATTTTACTTATTGATTGACTGATTGATTTGAGAGAGAGAAAGACAGACAAACATCGATAAGAGAAACATCCATTGGTTGCCTCCCATATGCACCCTGACCCAGGACGAACCAGAAACCTTTTGGAGTGCGGGAAGATGCTCCAGCCAACTGAGCCACTTGGCCAGGGCAAAGACAGATTTTAACATTTTGCTTTGTTCATCTCTCTCTCTTTTTAAAAAATATATTTTATTGATTATGCTATTACAGTTGTCCCATTTTCCCCACTTTATTCCTTTCTGCCCTCCACACCCGTTCCCACCCACATTCCTCCACTTTAGTTCATGTCCATGGGTCATACGTACAAGTTCTTTGGCTTCTCCATTTTCTGTGCTATTCCTCACCTCCCCCTATTTTTTACCTACCATTTATGCTACTTATTCTCTACTTTTTCCTCCTCTCTCCTCCTTTCATTGCCCTGTTGATAACCTTCCATGTGATCTCCATTTCTGTGGTTCTGCTCCTGTTCTAGTTGTTTGCTTAGTTTGCTTTGTGGTTGTTAATAAGTGTGAGTTTCCTGTCATTTTACTGTTCATATTTTTTATCTTCTTTTTCTTAAATAAGTCCCTTTAACATTTCATATATTAAGGGCTTGGTGATGATGAACTCCTTGAACTTGACCTTATTTGAGAAGCACTTTATCTGCCCTTCTTTCATTTTAAATGAAAGCTTTGCTGGATAGAGTAATCTTGAATGTAGGTTCTTGCCTTTCATGACTTGGAATATTTCTTTCCAGCCCCTTCTTGTCTATAAGGTCTCTTTTGAGAAATCAGCTGACAATCTTATGGGAAGTCCTTTGTAGGTAACTGTCTTCTTTTCTCTTGCTGCTTCTAAGATTCTCTCCTTATTTTTAATATTGGGTAATATAATTATGATGTACCTTGGTGTGTTCCTCCCTGGGTCCAACTACTTTGGGACTCTCTGAGCTTCCTAGACTTTCTGAAAGTCTATTTCCTTTGCCAGATTGAGGAAGTTCTCCTTCATTATTTTTTCAAATAAGTTTTCAATTCATTGCTCTTCCTCTTCTCCTTCTGGCATCCCTGTAATTCAGATGTTGGAACATTTAAAGATATCCTGGAGGTTCCTAAGCCTCTCCTCATTTTTTCAAATTCTTGTTTCTTCATTCTTTTCTGGTTGAACGTTTCTTCCTTCCTTCTGGTCCACACCATTGATTAGAGTCCCAGTTTCCTTCCCATCACTATTGGTTCCCTGTGCATTTTCGTTTATTTCACTTAGTGTTGCCTTCATTTTTTTTATCTAATTTGTGACCAAATTCAATCAATCCTGTGAGCATCCTGATTGCCAGTGTTTTGAACTCTGTATCTGATAGGTTGGCTATCTCTTTGTCAAAAAATAGAAAAACTCCTATTTTTTCTGGAGCTTTGATCTTTTCTTTCGTTTGGGCTTTTTTTTTTTTTTTTTTTTTTGTCTTGAGGCACCTGCCTCAAGGTATAAAGTATAAGGGGAGGAGCCTCAGGTACTTACCAGGGTGGGGCATCCCAGTCACTGCTTTGTGGCACTGTCTGTGGGGGTGGGGTCTGAGAGGGAACAATGGTTCTTGTTCTGCTCTCTGCGGGATTTCAGTCACTTCCCCAGCTTCCCAGAAGCAAAGTGGGCCCTTCTGGGGCTGATTCCCAGGTGGGTGGGCTTGTGTATGTTCTAGGACCCTGTGGGTCTCTCCATCAAACTCTCCTGTGAGGCTGGGAGTCTCTCCTGGCACCTCAATCCCTACAGGTATTTTCTATCAGGTGTTCGAGGCTTTTATTTTCTGTGCTGGGACCCCGGGTTGCTAGGTCTGTCTCGCTCCCCAGGTGTTCCTCCTGGTTTATCTGCTCGTGAATGTGGGACCGCCCGCTCCACCAGCCGCCACCTTGCCCGACCACCAGCCACTGCCTTGCCGGCCATCTGCAACCTTGCTCGCCCTGCTCTACAGTCCACCGCTTCACTGGGTCCACCAGCTGCTGCCTTGCCCGCCCCGGTCCTCCACCGCCGTTTTGCCACGACCCGTCTCCGCCCAGCAACCCGTCTCCGTCCCTCCTACCGGTCTGGATGGATGTTTCTTCTCTAACTTTTTGGTTGTTGGACTTGCATACAGTTTGACTTTCTGTCAGTTCTGGTGGTTCTTTGTTTTTAAATTAAATTGTTATTCTTGCTTTTGGTTGTATGAGGAGGCACCTATGCCTCCAACTTGGCCGGAAGTTGTTCATCTCTTTTTATTGAAATAAACCACTATAGCTACAGTTGAACCAGATTACCTCCCTTTCCCATTCTTCAAAATTTGTTTATCATTCTAAAGCCTATTGTACTTTTATTACATGCAGATATATCCATAAGCAGTTAATATAATTGTTATTTATTTAAAAGTTTACATAGATGTTATTGTTTTGCAACTCGCTTTTGCTCAAAACTATGTTTTAGAAATTCTCCATGTTTATTATATATAATTTAAATTCACAGTAATTATTTAATATGAGTTAACCACAGTGTATTTATTATAATAATAAACCATAGTTTATCCCTTTTTCTACTAAGATAGGTTCTTTCTACTTCTTTGTCCTTATAAAATAATGCTATAATGAACATCTTTATCTTTATCTCCATGAGCATAGCTTTGAGAGTTTCTCTGGGTGGACATCTAGAAATGGATTTGTTGGGAGGGTACCCTATACTAGTCATTGCCAAGTTGCTCTCAGAGTGGTTCTGTCCCTTTACATAGCCACCATGTGAGT